ATTTATTTTCCGGTTCATCAGTAAAGCTAATGCTACATTCAGTATCAACTGCAGCACAGCAGCCCAGAGTGTTGGGTTTATCTGCTCCACCTGTATGAATACAGGTTCGTTCTGGACCAGTCACTCGGCAGTAGCTCCAGAAGGAGAAAGGCTGTTGCATTCCATGCATCGTGCCAGTCATTTTAAGGATGCCTATTGGCCTTCCAAAAAACAATAAACCCCCGAACATTATCAATAATCAATAAAATCCTCCGGAGCGAACTTGAAAATCGGATGTTATGCTGCTAGCACTGCCAGCAGCTCAAGCAGAAGTTAGAGCGTTGCACAACACAAATAATTACCCGGCCGAAGCAAATAATAAAAAACTTAAAAATGACTGCTGTTTTATTTATTTATCTAAGTAATAAAACCTAATTCAAAGACACTACGAGGCAGATAAGTTGCCTTGAGGAATTTTAGTGATCGAAGTAGTCGAATGATTTGAGGAATCATTACAGCTCTACAAGCTGCTGTGCTTTATGAGGAAATGATTTTTGGCTTGAAGCCTTTGAGCTACCTACCGGAGACTTGGATCAGAACTTCCCAGGTTGAGCAGAGCAATGTTGAGAAGGGTCCCGGGGACATCTTTAGGACGGATCTTTGTGTGCTGGGGAATTGAGTCAGGTTGAGACAGCTCCCAGCGAGTACGGATATGAATTATGGACTGAACAATGGCATCACACTCTTGATGCATGAATGTGAGAGGTGTTCCCTGGTTGGCCATGGTAAGAGTAAACTGACTCTCATCCACCAGGCAAATTTCCTCAATCTCTGAGGCATAATAAACATCGTTGAGAAAGACGGGCTGGCCAAGCACCCGTGTCCGCTCAGCTGAGGTTACCTGAACTGCTGTGGAACCCACCTGAGTAAAAAATATTCATAGGTTTCAGAAATCTTGTTCTTGCTGCATCCTTTAGAATTATATAATTCTTGCTTGTTTGAAATCTAACTTTTCATTGCCACCGTACCTTTATTGAAACTTTGGTGTCTTTGTGAGCCAGCTTGAGGGCATTGTGGAACACTTTGAGGTCTTCTTCCAAAGTCAAAGTGGCTGCTGGGAGTTTCTGTTGGTCTTGTTCAATGTGTTCTGCCAACTTGGCTGGAGAGTCAATAAACTGCAGGCGCTTGCTCCCCTTCAGACCAGTAAGAAGCCTCTCATGATACTTGGTGTACTCCCTCACCCAGGTGTTGCAGTTGTAGACATAAACTGATGCCACATTCTCATATGCAAAGCCAGGAAAGACCACAAACCACTTGGATAGAAAGTCAGTCTTGAAGCGATTGCTTGGTCCAACATGAGTTAAGTCTACAACTATCTCATAGGGCTTAGCATAGTAAGGTTTGAGGGTGAGGAGTACATGGTAGATGAGCAGGTCACCATTAATTTGGCCTGTTTTGAACCTGAGGAAAGACAAATATAGATATGGTAAAATATACCCTTGGGTTTTTCTGTAAAGCAAATACACAAATATACAGAAGACACAAAGCATGCTTTGAAACATTAAATGTCTAAAAATACTGATGCATTTGCTTCTTTAAGAACAGCTCTTCAGCCTCTGAAGCTCAGACCTGACACCCTGAAATAACCAAGCAGAGAAAAAGATCACGCGCAAAGGGCGAGAGGACCATTCACAGCAGTTCTCAAGTCTGCATCAGTTTATTCATCTCTCCGTTTCAGCACACAGGCCTTCTGGAAGCTACCTTATGTAAGTATTGAACTAGAAACAATGCAAAGAATTTAAAGCAATGATAGTCGGTAAGAAGAAAATGTAAAAATAATGCAAAGATAACCAAAACTGGTTTTGCTCTCCCCAACGACATTCTTTTTTTTTCAGAACATGATGAAAACCACCAGAACTCTGTGCCTGTTTCTCCTGTTCCTGCTCCACCCTGCTGAAGCAGACCAAGGTCTTTCAACTACCACCATGGATTTACCCACATCCCAAGACCAAACAGGCAGCCCAACATTCACAGCAGAGTCCCACCTCACAGCAACTTACCATGAAGACCCAGCTGCTGCAATCAACGCCACTGGTGGCGACTGCTTAATTGACACTGAGATGGGTCTTATTGCCATTGGTTCAGCAGGAGGATTAATCCTCTGCTTACTGGTTACAACATCTGTGCTTGCATGTCAGATCTGTGTCCTTCAGCACCGGGTCTACATCCCCCGAAGTCGCCGATCTAACACGGACATAAGTGGTACTCACTACTGGGAAGCAGATCAAACAGAGATAGAAGGGCTGGTCGGACCGTGTGACACTACTGTTATGCTAGAGGAGGTGAGAACAGACTGTACGACTGACATACAGGGGACTAAGGAAGAAGCTTGGGCAGGACTTGATGAAGGGAAAACAACTTCTACTGAACCTGAAGAAAAAGTCTTTCAGATCCAGAGCTCCAGTTCTAAGGATTCCTGTTTGGAGATCCCCAAGGATTTGGAAGACATGCCTCTTGTTGTATGAAATGGTAACCCACCCCTGTCTAAAAATACCAAATTTCTTCTATTGTCTTTATCCTTATTTTTTAGAAACTAAAGTTATTGTAAAACGTAAAGCTACTTGGATATTAAAAAATTGGGATTATCTTTAGAATTTAAGATTTATTTAAACTTATAGAGAAACCAACAAATTAACATTGGTGGAAGATTACAAATTGTACAATTTTTGAAAAAGTATAGCTGTGTCAAAATTGTTTTTTACTAACAGATTCAAGTTTAAATGTGAAAAAAAGTGTCTATACACAAAGCAAAGTTTGATGTTTGAGCTGTATGATGCCACAGTACTACTTTTGGTCACTATCAATTAAACAAAGGAAAAGGAAATGCAGAAATAAATATGTGAAATACTTACTTATGTTCATAGGATATGAGAAATTTGAAAGAATATCTTAAACTTTCAGTTACAAAAGAGTTCATCCAGTCCAAATTATGAAGAATTAGTTTGACATCCCAATACGTGCATTTTTAATCCAAAACTTTGAGAGATTGTGGGGAAAAAAAAACACATTTTTGTTGCATTCATGACAGAATATTCTGATTATAATGTTGTCTTTAACCTCATCTGACAGCCAATAAGTGCTTTAGAGTGTAGCTCTTATCCATAATTTTTCAAACACACTTATGTAAGCATTCATGTCACTTCGAAATTATCCAGTACTTTGCATCTGGTTATCAAATAAATCCTAATAAGATAAGGTTTGTGACTAAAACATGACAAAATATCCACAGTTCAGGAGACAATAACATAACATGCATTCTCTTCTCTTCAGATAGCGCTTTTTTTTTTTTTTGTTGCAGTCTCCAGAGTGAAAGGGTAATGGTATGGATCAATGGAAAGCTTGGGGATCAGCATCAAACTAGAAAAACCTGAAATATGAAATAATATTGGTGAATGTCACAATAATGATATGATTTGTAATAAATAAATAATTTTTTTAAAAAGCCTTGCAATATTTTTGCTTTGAGTTAATGACACACATAGACTCTGGATAATGTGTGGTCTTTACATCTTCTATATGAAAAAAGAAAAACATAGAACTTAAATAATTAGGGGCGCATCAATTGTAGTTTCCAGGCTGATAGCTGATTACCTATCTTTAAAAGCCCTGATCTGCCTATTCCAATTTTGGCTGATAGCAATATTTTTTCTCTGAAATGTTGCTAAATATACCAATTCAGTTGACGAGTTGGCAACAGTGGGAGACAATTAACTGCAAACATGGAGATATGACCTGGTGGGCCGGTCTGTCAGTCAAACCTCTTATCAGCGAGCAAAAGAGGATAGCAGTTGATTTTCAGACATTTGCTGAGGTAGATAAGATCGGTGGATAATATTGCTTTCATATTTAATCATCGGTCGATCACTGAGCTCCCTAAATTTCGGTTAAATTAAATTAATAGGTGCAGCCCTATAAATAATCAAACAGGTATTGCAGTCCAGCTAAGATCAAAAAATCTTTTAGATCTTAGTTGATCTTACCAAAATCAGTTTTTTGGTCCTTGTGTGATCACACAAAGAAATTTCGGCTGGTTATTCTGTTCACAGGTGCAGAGAATAATATGTGCTAGTTACACATAGAACTTATGAGCACTAATTTGAGGTGAGATGTATAGAAAAGCGCAAGTTACAGTTTTTATGTCATCAACCGCTTTCATATTCATAATTGTATTTGTTTCTCATTGGAAGTTGGTTGAGTTTACAATAGGGTGGGAAAAAATTTCAGTTCTAGGAAAAAAGCTGTCTCTAAGTCAGGTGGTTTGTGTTTTTTAGTTCCTGTACCGCTCTCCAGAAAGAAGCTTGAGGATCTCCAGTTATACATTTGGCCTTCTTCTGGATCTGTTATCAACATGTTCACAAGTAGGATTGGACTTTGGTTACCAGAACATAAGCACTCTCTTACTAAGCTGGAGCTGTGCAACAAAAAAAAAAAAAAATTATAGAAATGTAATCAAGATGGGACACAGCTGATCTTATGTGCAGGCAAAGCTGATGATCTATAGAGTTATAGAGATGTTCAACCAGAGCTTCCAAATATATACTTGTCAGCAAAATATTTGGCACCCTTCTATTAATGACCAAAAAGCCCATAATGTTCACCAAAATAACTGTGACAAGTTTCACATAAAAATGTACTACCATGTAAACCAGACATTGCTTCTGAAATGTGGCTTAGCAGAATCATTGAAAAAAAATCAACTAATGAAACAGACCTGGACAAAAAATGATGGTTTCTCTACAGATGTATTACGGACACATTGATGTACGTCCTCTAATTAACGTTACCTTATACTTCTATAAAGGCTTAAGTCTTTAAACATCTGCAAAAAAATGCTGTAGATATTTTATGCTGCAGATAAAATAAAATTACAATCATTAATAGCTGATTAATGACTGTAATCAGTTATTTTAACTATTTTAATGGTGAATTCTTACATTAGTTTTGACAGAAAATAACTGGAATAATCTTTGACAGAAACTAAAGAGAAGCTCAATTATTTTCAGAATTTAGCTTCTAAATTTGAACTTTTGTCTTACATTAACTGTCTTCTTATCTAGGGTTTAGCAAAATAGTTGGAGAGCAAGCACATAAGGTTGTCAGTTCGAAATGTCTCATTTCCTGTCAGTGAGCAAAGTGTCGGTTTCAACATCTCAAAAAGGAGGGGTTATTTTCTGCTCTTAGTTTCTGCTGTCTTTCGGTCAACATTACGTGAATCTAACAGGTTAATCTTCAAGCTATTAATACATTTTGATACCAAACCCGGGTTATCCTTGTAGAGTCACAGGTAAGTACAAATTTCTGAATCTAAAATACTTCTTATTGTCTTAAAAATTAGGTTCATGTTCTATGGCTGTTTCTAGAAAAGATGTTCAAGATGCAATGCGATCTTACAAATACAGTAAAACTCAAATTATTAATTAGCCGCTAAGCAATGTCAGATTTTATTAAAATATTTCAAACTGACTTTCAGTCATTTGTAAGGTTACTTTTCATACATTTTAAGACTCAATAAGGAGAACATTTTTATATATTTATTGTTAAAACTTTGTAAAACCAAAAAGGACCCATCACTTACACACAGAAAAACAACTGAACTGTCCAAACACAAGCTCATCTCAGAAGGCCAGTGGTATGATGTTCTAAGTGCAACTGTTGTAGGTTGGACATCTGGTTCAACAAGCCAAATACGAGAAAAAATATGGGGTTAATTTTCATCAAGGTGCTAGCATGAGGATACGGTTGACTTGCAATTGCTTGAAGCCTTCACTGAGGCCAAATATAACTTCAGTTGAAGAAAAAATAATACACAGAATATGATGTGCTTGAGTTCCAAATCTGTCACAATTCACCTTGGATTACTGGACATATAAAATCCAGCAAACATGTCAACAGATTTAACTTGCAAATCTGCAAAATTATAATGTCCACCAAATGATATTAAAATCTTTAAAACAAAGGCTAGAAAGATAAGTACATCTCACATGCAGTGTGAGCGACTTCTGTGTGTCTTTTTGTAAAACACGGAAGCAGCTTCAAGAATGTGGTAATTAAATAAGTTTTCCTTCTGTTTCCGTATGCTTTGTCATGTTTTTTATTTATTTATCTTTATGCAGGTTTTCTCATTGAGATCCAAGATCTCAGAAAGACCTGATAGCACCATATATTATATACATCAGTACATGGAAAAATGTAATGCAATGAAAAAATTTGTAATTTATCATTCTCCTAGGTAATAACTGTAAGATATGAACCTGGGATCAACAATAAGAAAAAATTATTATGATGTATGAAGCATATCAAGTTACAAATCTTTGTGTTGGTTATTTGTGAGAAGTCATTGACAATGAATCTGGATCTCCGTCTGTTTTAGTGTGAAACACCAGGCGTGTGTAACAGAAGAGCTGAGGCCAAAATGACCAGCTTTACCTTCATTCTTTTTCTGCCAATGGCAGCAATCATTACAGTAAAATCTGAGCTTCAAATCAACACCACAGATGTGACAACAGGCAACATGACCCAAAACACTCAGTTGGCAACACAACAGCCATCAACTTTAGAACAGCTGTCAGAGATCCCATCCGTCAATACTACAATTACTACCAGTGTTGATAGGACTACACCAAAGGACCCAAGAATCTCTACTTCTACATTGCACACAACTCAGATGACACATCCAGGAATACTTTCAGTAAATACTGAGACAGCACCAACTGTCACCAATTCATCAAACACACCAACTGTTAAGTCTAATGTTTGGAAATCCATAACAACTCTGACTCGTCAGACCAGTCAGCGAATCAACAATTCAACAGCACCTCCGATGCTAAGCAACATTACGCAAAACCGCGGCACAGAGAGAACATCAACCTCACCGATCAAGTTAAACGAAGTGACCTCCTCATTTATACCGACATCTACATTGATGGCCACTCATACAAGAACCACATCGATCAAGGTTGAAGAAAGAAAATCTAAAAGTACCAAGCGAGTTCCAGGTGGTGACACGACACAATCCTCCACCTCAGAGACACCAATCATTGATGAGGCAAAGAAAAAAGGTTCACAAGACAGCAAAGTTGTGGCAGCAATAATAGGTTCAATGCTGTCACTGATGATTGTGGGATTTCTGCTGATATACATCCGCATACAGAGACTTCAGAAGGAGCAGACGACTACTAGCTGGGCAGGTCCTTCGCCACTAATGGATGGGGAAGCTAACAATGACAATGCGTTATTGGGATCATCCAACCGAATTTCCATGACCAGTTTTTTGCCAAACAGACTTTCAAAGGCATTTTCTTTACTTCCAGAAACAAATGAGATGACAGATATCACTTCAAGAGGCACATTAGAAGAAAAACACCAAGGAAGCACCTTTGGTCAAGCCATTGATGGAAATGATACACAAGAAAAATAGTTTGCAGCTGCTGTTCCAGAAGAGAACACTGGAAGTGAAACTGAAGAGATAGCTGTAATGTCTGCCGCAGAGTTCTCTTTAGTGAACCAACAATCATCCTCAGACAAGGTCATTCTGATATTTGAAGTGTTCAGCTTTCACGGAAAAAACAAAAGGTGGCCATCCAATCTTGAATCAAATCTGAAAACTGTATGGTTAGTTTCCTGCCTGAGAATGGATTTTGGGGCACTGTGGAAATTTGTGTCACATTTCAACATTAATACAGTCATTACCTGGATCATTATGCTCACATCAGCACACAGTAACTAAACCTACAATATCAACAAATATGACAATCAGAAATTATCTGAATCGTTTTTTTCTTGGGGAATTTACTTGGCTAGTGCAAAATGCAACTGGATATGTATAGATCTCTCTTGCTCTTTAATGAAAAGCAGAAGGAAGTGTTGTAAGAGGAACACACAGCAAGATAAAATGTTGCCGACATGCCACATGCTTGATTTGCTCTCTACACAGTAATGCAGACTGCACTATGAACAAAAGATCTTCAGAATACCGTCATGAGACCATATTCTAGGAGATATAAACTCAATATGCAGGATATCACAAACCAGTTTAGTTTTAAAGACCTAGAAAACTAATTATGGCGTTATAAGGATGTTTCATCATCAAGTGCAACACAAATGCTTCTTTGTCAAAGCTCTGTTTAGTCATCTGTGTTTAGAAATGTTGAAATGGTTGGTCAATATGATGGATAGATGAATGCTTTATTTATCAATGTGGGGAAATTAATATCCATCCATCCATTAAATCTATTATCTTACACGCTTAAAAAATTAGTTCAGGCATGTGTTAGTCTTCTTGCTTTGATCTATTCTCCTCTATGAAAAAGAGGAAGATGGACAATTTATACGTTGGGTTATCTAGAGAACACAAACATAGTTTTTAAAGTGAAACATAATCAAATTTATGAATTGCATCCAATTAAAAAATAATTATAACAAGTATAATTATGTACAGAGCAAAACAATGGTTGCCAGAAAATAATAACAAAATCCTTCTTCCAAAGAAGAGGTGTATTTAGGAAACAAAGCATGGACAAAAATTAGGATAATTTGCAACAGTACTTCACGCTGTGTAAAGTTCAATACATTTTTAAAAATGACTAGTGCAAATACTTATGAATGGAGCAGTGTTTTAAGGGCAAAATGGGCCTCCAGTGGCATGTTGTTGGGTGATTTTAAATGAGTGCATGTATATTATGTATGTATATCGCATTATAAAGAACAGAAAATGGTTCTTGGTTGTTTTGAAGTTGTACTGCCATCTTACAGGAATCTGTTGATTGTGCAGATGCTGTAGACTAGTCTAATAATTTGTGTAAATAATTTCTTTGAAAGTGTACAGTGAATATTTGTGACTTGGAGATCAAATTGCATGAATAAATATTTATAGCTTGGAAAGTATTTGGATCCTTTATTCAAGACTGAAACGGACAAAGAAACTGGATGAGTTAGTTGGGGATAAGATTTATTGAACGTTAGTGTTTTCCTATGCCTTTTCGAACTAAGTGTTAAAGTTTAACTTCTGTATTTGGTTATCATTCCTATTTTTATGTCATTATTTCTCTAATTTGACATTTGTTTTTAATGTTGGAAATAAAATGACGTTATCATTGTCATCCTTTTTGTTTCTTCTTATTGTTGAAATTGTAGTCAAGAACAAAACATGATTTGTTCTTGACCAAATTGTGCCCAAACCACAAAAATGGTTTGTGAGATGAGTATTTCACAGCAGCAACATATCTCTAACCTATAATGCCATCATGATCAGTGTAGGCTTATGATTGTTTTTTATATCTCACGTCAGAGACAAACACAATTTTAATTGTTCAACCCTAAATTATGCACAGCATAATACTGGTGGACAACCAGAGGCTGAGCTGGTTCCATCAGCAGGAAAGGACAGACTGGAGGAACCAAGCGAATACAGTGGGACAAACCACCAGAAATGCAACTTCAAACTCTGGAAAGCAAAAAAGACAAACAAGCCCAGCCAGAGTTCTCTGCTCCAACATTTAGATTTCTTACCTCATTATGCTTGTCCAAATAAAGAGATGAAGATCAGTTTAAGACCATAGCAACAGAAAGGGAAGAAATTTTAATTGACAGAGAAAAAGTACCAAAGAAATCCAGCTCAACAGGTCTATGAAATTAGTTAAAAATAAATAAAAATTACCCGAAGAAAACTGAAAATGCAGCGTTGAGAAAAAAAAGGGTTGCTCCTATCGAGCACACAGATTGTGCTTGCCTCATCAAAGGCCCAGTGGACTGGCTCTTTGCTGCATTTCTTCTCCCTCTTTCTTTCTCTCCCTCACCACCACATATTGCACTGCAACCTGGAACTCCCTGCATAACTGAGCCGTGCAGAAGCCGGGACTAACACGAAGCATTGACTAAGACGCATCACTACACACACAGCAGCCCAGAAAAAGTGCTTGGCTTTATCATATTAAAATGCACAAAGGAAGACGAGTGGAGCTTGAGGAGTTAATGACCAGAGATTGGGAGAGATGGTGCTAATACTGAAATCACAAGGTGAGTGATCCTGGCATGATACCAGAAACGGATGACTAATTTTATGGATAGGAATGTTGATGTTGTAAATTGCTGAACGCAGGTTAAAAACTGCAAGCTGTCTTGTTCAGCAAATGTCTTGATCTTTAGCAGAGAGAATGAAAAAAGTAATTTCCTGTCGGCAAAAATGAAACCAGGAGAAAATCTATATATAAATATGTAGGAAGAATATAGATTAAAAAAAAACATCAATGCCTTCATTATGCTAATAATGTGTTAGTTTCTGAAATTACTGCTCTAAATATTTTTGTTGCACTGCAGTATTCTTAGTGGCTGAGCTGGTTCCCAGAAACAAGATTTAAAGTGCCACCACATACAAGCGACTTGACTTGTGGTAATTGGCCGTGTCTAACTTTAGTCTTATTGCATATATATAAATATGTCTTAGTTATGAGATGGGTGTGTGAAATATACTTCTAAAAAGCTGTAAGACGACAGGAGATGATGGCAAAAAGTTATATTTTACACTTCGTCCAAGACACTCAGGAATAACTCAGTTTCATAATGAAGCAGGAGAGAATGCAAACTAAAAAAGATCACAATTCAAACATTTTTCTAAAATATATTGCCCAGCATAAGTATTGACATGAGGAAAATGATGAAAGCCATCAATCATCTTTTCTCTCCATTCCAATTATACACTAGTTTGTGCAGGTCCTGTATTTAAATCTCAATGCAATACTTCAGTTTGTGGGAAATTTATATCTCAAACCAAAAAGAAGTGATGTATACTCGTGTGAAGAAAAAGGATACAAAAGAAAAACAAATGGATATGGAAAAGGACAACCCTTATTTTGAAGGACATTTTTGTTTACTGAAACTTCATAATTCATTTTTTTCCCCTGTCGTTTAGTTTTTTTATTTTAGAAATTTAAAATGTCTTCCAGTTCCACTGCTTAAATGTTCATTACAATTTAAGGTTAATTGATGTTTGAGAAAGTATTCTTGCATTATTTTGCCAATACCATATTATTTCATCAAAACAACAATATCATTGTTCATCACCATAAGTTCTAGGACAATTTATCATTTGTTATAGTGATCGGCCGATGATTAGAATCAGCAAAGGTCTGAAAATCAGCCAATCGACTTTTGCTCTAATGTGAGCGCCAAAAAAAAAATGTTAATATGAAAAATGCATTGCCAAATAACTGAATTACTTTTCTCTTAGGAGTTAATTATCTGTAAGCTGTAATCATCACAACTATAAGAAATAATTTAGTAATATGAACATCAATGCGTCTGGGCAGAGATCGATGATTCCTTGAAGATGTAGTTTGTGATAAAGTCCCAGATACTATGCCATAATAATACAAAATAAACTGGTCAAACTTTTATTTATTCTTGCAGTTATCTACATTGTAAATGTCCACACAGAGAGGAGGAAACAGTGTCAACACGACATGGCGCCTTATTTTTATGTGCAAGTCAAACAGCCTTTTGTGGAGATAAAACACACTGAACCTTTAACCAGGAAGAAGCTGGGCAAAAATAACAAAATAAAAATAAAAGGTAGTTTAGCTGTAAATATACAATATTTGAAGCTTTATGTGAGGCTTTAAAATGACTTTGCAAGAGGAAGAGTGAATGTCTCTATCAACATTTTCTTTGGCTTAGTGCAAGGAAGATATGAGTCATAATAACAGGCCAAAAAATGTGTTGCTCATTTTAAAGTAAATACTAAACTTAACTGTGACTCCCCTGACCTTTAGCAACATAGAGATACGATGAGGTGTTGTTTAGGAGAAGATAAGAGATATTTGACCCAACAATGCAGAAGACCTGAAGGTTGCTATCAGAGCAACCTGTTCTTTGACCTCAGCAGAACCACTGCAGGGATCTACCTGTAACAATGCATGAATCCCTGCATTGTTTCAGGGATTTATGCACAGAGCCCAAAGCAAGTGTACAGGGAACATAAATGAACATACTTTTCAGAATCCTAACCTTTCTGTTTCAAATGTCCTTTTTTATTTACTGTATGTAGTATTTACATTTTCTAGAAGACTAAATCTGGAGTTTTCAATTATCTGCAAGCCATAATCATCACAATTATAAGAAATAATAGCTTCAAAAATTTCACTTGATGTGTGCTGAATGTATACGAGTACAGTGGGTACAAAAAGTATTCAGACCCCTTAACCATTTTTCACTCTGTTTTATTGCAGCCATTTGCTAAGATAAACGTAATTATATTATGTCTCATGAATGTTCACTCAGCATCCCAGCGTGACAGAAAAAATTTTTCGAAATTTTTGCAAAAATAAAATGCCAAATAAAGCCTTTGCTTACAAATTTGACAAATAAAATTGTAATGCAAGTAAACATTTATACACATAACTGGCTTTAAACAATTTCTTTTAATTCTTCTGAAAACTTGATAACATGCATCTAACTTTTGCTTCTTTAGAGGCCTCACCATGCTGACCTCCTCCCTGTTCCTTGTGCTGCTCTGTGGGCTTTTGGGAGGCTGGGTCCTGTCCGTCTGTCCGTCTATGTGCTCCTGCAGTGGCGGTCACCGTGACGTGGACTGTTCTTTAAAAAGCCTAACCAAGCTGCCACATGGCCTGCAGCACAACATCCGTTTTCTCAATCTCTCATTTAACAGGTAAATAGCTGTAATGCTACACTTCACCTCTGACACGTCTTATGTTAGATACTTACTCAACATCTTGAGCAAGAGGTCAAAAAACTAACGCAAAACGAGTCAAATTGTATTCTTTTCAGAGAGTACCAAGATTAAGGCAAACATGAGTGATAAAAAACAAGTATTGTCATTCCACAGTATACAAATAACATATTCATCGATGATAAATTGATCTGTTTCAGTTATTGCTGAACACTCGTACTGCTTACAAATGAATTTCGACACGTATGCTTTCATGCATGTCGAAAGCATACGTGTTTAATTTTATATACAGGAAACTAGTTGATAAAACTAGTCTTTTCCAACAGCTTGAAGGATCTTGGCGGTCAGCTCAGCCGCTATGATCACCTGCGGATCCTGGATCTCTCCTACAACCACCTGGAAAGCCTGCCGTCTGTCTTGCCACGGTCTCTATGGGACATCAAAGCAGCGTGGAACCGTCTACGTTCGCTCGACAAGAAAGATACAGCTTACCACTGGAACCTTAAACTGCTGGATCTGTCGCATAACGAACTGGAGAGAATAGTTTTCATCAACAACACTCTCCTTAGTGTTACTTCTCTCAACCTCAGTCACAACAGATTTTGGACTGTCCCCACAAACATGCCTCATAACTTGGAAATTATTGATTTGTCATTTAACTATTTAGTTCAGATTCTGCCTGGCTCTTTGGATCGTCTACCAAAGCTGGTTAAATTGTATTTGCATGCTAACCATTTCTCAGTACTGCCTCGAGGTATATTTGATAAACTGAGAGCACTGAAAACAATCACACTTGGAGATAATCCCTGGGCTTGTGAGGAAGAAGACAACATAACAAGAATCCTTAAATGGGCAGAGCAAACTCATGCGACTGTGTTGGGGTGTCCCTGTTATACAACACCAGTCTGTGGACAAAGCCATTTGGCAACAAAGGAAAGACACCTGGATCCTGCTCCACTCACAGAGTCAACCGTGAACAATAGAGGAGAAGAATATCATGACATGCCCACTGCAAGGATTGAAGTGGTGACTTCTGCTTCTGAGACAAATCCTTCACAGCATCAGTCTGGGTTGGGGATGTGGACCTCCTCTACAAGTTTTCACAGCGTCTCCAAGCTCACAAGCACAACAGAGCACCTGCTGTCTTCCACTGTAAAGCCCAAGATGGCCAACTCCCGGAGCAAAAGTCAAAAAGTATTTGCTCAGATTGATATGGTGCTTCTAAACATTTTTGTTCTAACAATAGCATTCAGCATGTACTGAACTAAAGGCACTAAATTAGACACCACAGTATCCTTATGCTTACATATGGAGTGCCATATGATGCCTACAAATGTTAGTAATTATGTTTGCAATTCAATAGTTAGAACACAAATGCATGATCTAGACATTCCTTTTGCGGGAAATAAAATAAGTCTATTGAGATCATTTGTTATTCGCCCTAGAAGATTTCCAATAATAATTATAAACTTTGTTCGCCCTAGAAGATTTCCAACAAGATTAATACAAAACTGGAAGCAGAACCGCAAGAATTATAGTAGAGCGATATTACAATGTAACACGACTTCTTCTTGGATTCCTTAGTCAAGTTTGGCTGTAATAATTGGTATAGTGTAATATTTGATGCATGATGAGGGTCTAATGATGAGCCAAAAGACAAAATAAAAACAAAACAAAAAAAACCCAAAACATTTGTTTTTCTTTCCCAGTGTTGTATAAAGTTGGAAACTTTGACAATATTTTCAATGAAAAATGTTTCAGCAGACTTATTTCTACAATCATGGTAGGATACTGCTTTACTAGCTCCACAAGTGGAAAATTTGCATCGTCACAAACGAAGGAGGACAATACAAAATAAGAGCAGCATAAATAAAAAGCAGAAGAACAAACAAACATAGATATAGTGTACCTAGCAAATAAAAATGTATTTACAGAAATCTTAGGCATACAAGGTTTCCCTGGAAAACTTGCCAACATCAGTTTTAAGGACTAAAGGGCAGTCGACCTTGTACTCTGCTGTTTGCTACGTACAGATGACTTGGACTCTCTACTACTGAGAAACGATTGCTTCCAGGAGGCGTGCGCTTTGAGAAACGATTGCTTCCAGGAGGCGTGTGCTCTGTTGAACATTGAAATGTCACCTAAATGCCAATGTTGTATGTAACACGCCAGTCGGATGCTGTTAAGCTTACTAGAAACTCCCTGCGTCGTAAACAACCGTCCTGCACTGTGGAGAGAGCCTGAATTATTCTGATTCGGATGTAGCAGTAATCAGTTTGGTTTCTGTCAATTTGTCAAGATGCAAGAGAGAGCAAATGAATCTTTTATATTTGTAAATAATTAAATGTTACATAATTGCTGCTGTAAAAGACAGTTTTTAACTCACTATGGCTCCAATACTTTATGAAATAAAGTATTTCATCCTATTTAATACTTGTCATAAATACTGCCATGTTCTACAAATAAATGTGGGAATTAGTGCAGTTTTCGTCATTTATTGAACTGTAAGAAATTACAGCGGCTGCAGTGTGCCACAGCAAAGGGAAAATGACACCAAAAACAGGTGAAGAACAACTCAAAACCTTTGTGTTCTGCTTTTCCTCACTCTATTGGCTTTATACTACACTCAGACCCATTGCCAAGGCAACCTACAGACAACATCTGAATGAGCCACTAGAGCAAAGATCACTTTCAAGTGTATCAGGAGGAATCAACGCCAAAAACCACAAAAACAAAGTAGGTAAAAACCCCATAACAGAACAGTCAGCCCAATGCTTAATCTGACCTCTAAACCTTAAAAAAATCCTTTAAAAAAATCCAAATGAGCTCAAATTATCCATCACTTTTGTTGTAAGTTTGTCTTTTAACACAAATATCTGTATCTTTTACAATCTTTTGACAATCATAACTAAATTGCTTGCAGTTGTGTGGAACATATCAGTCTTAGTCATCCTGCAAAATTTGTTAAGATTCTGTGCTTCTTTGTTTGAAGAAAAGCAAATCAGACTTTGACACCGAGTGTTCTCGATGTGTAAAGTTATTTTATGCATTTATACTTCAACAGAACAGCATTAAAAAATTCAGTATAAATGACAAGCAAGTTTGATTATTTGGTAAAATTTTCACATTTTTACCGCAAACTACAACGTTTCAGGGAATGTTTGAATTTTTGAACACATAAAAATTCATATAATAAAGGACAATCACATTGCCTAAATAGTGTAGTCATCCTATCTGGCCACATGATGGAGCAAAACTGAAGTAAATAGAAATGTGAGCTTAAAATTAAAAATGACTGGAATGTAAATGTAATCGGGTAAGGACTGATGTACGTTTAAGAAACTCATATTCTAATAGCCTTAAAGTATATTCAGATGGTTCTAAGAACACAGAAGGATGCGTGGGAATAAGAATGTTTATTCCAAAGTTTAAAATATAGTTTTCCAAACAGTTATCAAACCAACTATCTGTTGGTTGGCAGTCATGACAAGCTTGCGGTTGGTAAAGGAGGTTCAACCAGACAGGCTGGTGATGTGCACACATTCCAAACCAATAAGAGAGATTATTAAGAAAAAATGAAATCATAGCACTGTAATTCAGCACAGTTTGTTTCAATTACACAGGGATTGATATTTGGTTTTGTTAGGTACCATCACATGACGGTGTAAAAGCCAATGAAAAGGCAGACAAATAAGTTAAAAAGGCTTTAGAGAAGGCACAAACAATTACAATTCCTTTTGGGAAAGGGAAATCAATTACTAAGAGTAAAGAAACAGAAATGTGGCAGAAAAATATGTAATAAAGATAAGAAAGGAAGGTGTTTATATAAAATACAAAAGTCAGTTGGGAGGAAAAAGAGAGTTAAAAATGAAGGATGTTGAGAGAAAGAAAATATGGAATATGTATTGATGGACTGTAAAATATATGAGCCTGAAAGGAAGAGACTGAGAAAAATATTGTAGAGGACAGAGCAGGAATGGAGTCTTAAAGAAATATAGGGAACTGAAGGATACTTAGAAAATATTTATAGATTAAGAATAACTATATTTATCTTCATGATATAAAATAAAACATATTGAATTTAATGGATGTAAAGTAATGTTGCTGCACACTCATGTACAGTAGATGGCAGTATGCACCTGAAAGTTGCTTGCGACCTTTCATAATAGAGAAGAAGAAGGAAAACTCCACATGGAAGTTTTTGAAGATGGCCTATGAAGCATGATGCTGTCCTCACAACCAAAACTCAAAAGTCACATTTGGCACAACAGGACATTTTCAAGACTGTCCTGCATTTAAAACTTTAGGGACTAAAAACCATCCTGAAAAGTTCCTGACTGTTGACTCATGCGAGCAAACAAGTAGGGGACCTGTCGGGTCGGGCAAGAAACCCATTAAACTGCTTGCAGTTCTAGATTAGCCCAGCTTTTTCTGGGTCAGAGACTGTAGGCTGATGCTCAAGTGAGTCTCTGTTTGGTAGTTTAGTTCATTCATGTATATGTTGATTGCTTTGGATACTAAGAAAAGCATGCTAGTTAATATGTTTACGTCATTAAAAATTGCATTTCAAAATTGTCTGAAGTCCTGTGTTTGCATTATTACCGTTAGCAGTCACACACAAATGCTACATCATATTAGTAGCAAGCCTTAAAAGAAAAATGATTTCCTTGTATGAAGACCAACAGTGAATGATCTTACCTGCGAGCCACATAGTAGAACACGGGGTTGCCGGTCTTGGAGGTGCCTGCTTGGTAGAATATGTTAAGTGTCTTTAAAGCCTTAAACTCCTCCTTTTCATGAACCTGGTGCCTGTGAAACAGCAAATATAGGGGTTAGGACTAGTCACTTTTTTTGCAAACTGTAGTTACTTTCCCCAGGCTAAGTGTTGCTTACTTTTATTTTGAATTGATTTGAATTTGAATTGAATTTCTGTATACACCAGAGACCCCGTACCGCATGTGTCTTTGCTGCAAACCCTGCACACTTCACTGGCAGAGCAGAAACATTTCTGAAAAACTGGTTTAGAGTCGATGCAGTGAACAGGGCATGGTGGTGTTTGGTGCATCAGTAGCAGGACAAAGACATGAATGCTGTTCTCCATAAGAAGTCCTGAGTCAACCTTTAACGTCAGTAACGTGCCACTTTAATCTGGCATTTGTTTCGCAAAGAGTAATCTAATGTGTTGCCGTTTTCAATCCAGTAATCAGATTAAAGTTATTTAAGACATTGTACATTATGTTATAGCTAGATTGCCTCACCAGTTTGTTCTGTGATTAGGTACATTATTTGTAGGAGTACAGATATTGTATTTAAAGTTTGATCCAATATTAAGACAGATTAGCATAATTGACTTTTCTTGCTGTTTACTTTCATTAGACTAGGCTAAACACACAGATAGGAGAAATCAGACCACAGGCAAATAAACATAGAAAGTAATTCCTTGAAAATAGGACATGTACTCAAAGAATATAAATTACTAGAACAGAAATATTAAAACATTTTTTGTCTCCCTTAAAATTTGATCAAAAATGTGTTAATAAAGTTTTATTCAGAACTACCACAAATGGTTAAATTTGATATCTGAGATGCAGATAATATTATGTAGAGTTATTTATTTATATCTTCTCTGTAGTTTTGACTTTTCTCTTCATGAAAGTTTCAGTGTCTGTGAAGTACAATACTTCATGAACAAATAAAAACAAAGATGCAATAAACACAAAGTTAATTACTGTACCTGGTCATGAACTCCTCAAATTTGGAGCTGGTCAGGTTGAGACTAGACCAGTGAGTATCGGCCACAGGCTTGTGCTCTGGAGGTCCAAGATAGGCAAGGAGGGTGGCCATCTTGTCAAAAGGTCGCCTGCCAACCGCCTTGTGGTCTCTGGAGTTATTTAAAAAATGATGTCTCAGGTAAGCATCTTATTAGAACATATTTCTCATTTGAGATTACAAACAATAATGGGCAGACCCTGACCTGTTACTGGAGAGGTACTGCCCAATCCTCTCCTGGTTGTTCCACAGCAAGCGGTGGAGGGCCAACACATTACCATCACTGATGAATGACAAACTGTGGTTGACTGAGTCACTGGGTGGAGAGTCAGAGGCAATGTCCAAGAAAAACCTGCAGCAGACATTACAGCTAATCAGGTACTTTAATTCTTTAACTCAGGTTTGGTATGTTGATGCTCTCTTCAGCATCAAGTCATAATATGTAAATTGACTAAAAAGCGACAAAGTCTAATGAACAATGCTTGCTAAATAATCACTGTTTGAGTTCTGTTAGGTGTAATAGCAATTCTGTATATCAAAAAATGTCTTTCTGGTTTGCTCATGCGCTGTTTGAAAGAAAGGTATAATCTCTTACCTTCTTGCTGAATCAAAGTTGCTTTTAACAAAGTCATTAAAAGGCCTCATATGTTCTTCTTTGGTAAACAGCACATGATTTGCGATACTCTGCAGAATCTACAGGAAAAACACAAGTACATATGGAAAGACTTCATCTTTAAAATGACTTACATCATTCTATCTACTCGTACTGATTACACATAAACGCATCAACACATGGGTTGCCTTTATCCAATTCCAATGCACATTCAAAAGACGAGGTTCAAGACATTCAATCAGATAGCCATCTCCCTTAAATCTAAACTTACATTGGAAAAACTTTCAAATCCGTTTTGCCTGGGCTTTAGCAAGACGAGAGGCTTACTTTTTACTTTGGATGAACTCCCATTCACTGTTTTGTTTATTATTATGACATTAATAGAAAATCAACCTGAAATCAGTTTTTATTCAGATACAGTGGGGGTAAATTCAAAGTTGGTACTTTTATCAGATGTGAGATGCGCATCATAATAATGCATAAGAATAAATCAGAAGCAGTACATCTGGATGACAACCATGGCTGAAAGGTACAATTATAAAACACTTAAAGAAGTTTGTGTCAATAAAGCACATCGAATCCACCACTAGTTCTGACTACAGATCCACACAGACCAGTTGCAGCCTGTGCACCAGAAAAGGCCATTGCTATTACAGGTTTTCCTATTATTATGATCTTGTGACAACACTGTCAGTTCTGAAATATTTTAAAAATTAATCCATAGACGATGTCATCAGTTATTAGTGCTGTAAAGTGTATGTTGTTGTATGATGTGTTTGTTGTCCTTCTGCATCTTATTTTGAGGTCAGAAACTGTTCAGTCACATTATTTAGTAGTATGAGTGATCATGTGAAAATTGAGCAGGATTAAACAATGTGAACATAGCATAAGAGCCACTTGCGAATGCAGTGGTAAGACTCTCACTGTGTTGTTGCATTTCTTTTTTGTCAGCCCCTCCAAAGAGACAACTTGCTTTCTTGGCTTACCTTGGACATGAGCTTAAGACCTCGTTCCACTCTGGGCAGCGGCTTTTTATCCAAGATGCCAGCCTCGTAGGGGGACACAATAGCCGGGTTGATGAAA